AACATAAGCCAAAATATTTTGAAAATTTCGTTTCGTAAATAAAACGATAATATTAATATTCAGTTAAAATTGTATGTATCTACAGTTATTTTTTTAAAGTTACAAAAAAAACTAAAATCAACTTTGTCGTAAACCAATTTTCAGAAAAAAATTATTTTCCCTTAATTTTTTTTTTTGTTTTTCCCAGTGTTTTTGATAACTAATAGAAATTTAAACTCTCAAATGAAACAACTTAATTCTCTTTCCCACCGAAAAATATACTGAATTTGAAAATCAAAGCATTATTTCGACTACTTATCGTTTACGCACACACAGATAAAAAAACATCACACAACGTTGTAAAATCAATGCATTCATCGTTCCGCTCAGAATCTAAGTAAATAAATTAATACTTAGATAAAACTCAGAGTAAGTTAATTTATAAAATGAGCTCCTTGGTCAAGATGAGACTCAGGGGTTGGACCAACCACTATAATGTTGTTTTTAATTCAAAAATGTTAGCTGTAGTATAAATTGACGATTTGCCGAAAATAGTTTTATATTTTTGTGAGAAGATTTTTTTAAAACCGGCTCCTACTCCATTTCATCAAAATTTGTTATCTGTATCATGGCTTTAGTTACTTATTCTAAAATTATTTATTGATATTTGATAATTCAGTTGTCATTTAAATATTATATAATTATTTTTACCGGATATCCATCGCATATTCTGTATTCTTAACGTACCTACATTTATTTGTATTCTGTATGGTGTCTCATGAAGATTATATAGGTACCTCACGATAACGCATGCGTCTCTACTAATTACGTCAAAATCCGAAAAGGTTAAAAAAATTAATTAATCGTTTTAAATAACTTTTCGTGTTTGACCATTAGCAAAACATGAGTAGGTATACTTACTATTTACCTACAATAAATCTGGACTTGGGATTTCTAATTATTTCTATTCAATTATGTACACAATCTACCTAACTAACCTTGTTTTTATTTATACGGTCGTAAGATACTTACGAATATATTTTATACATTGACTTTTCCAAAAAAAAACATAATGTACATTAATAAATAATGACTAATAAACTTTTTAATTTAGAAGATAATAATTAAATGCCACAATGTACGATTTTAACTTGGCGATCACTGATAAAACGACAAATTTTATTCAGCAGAGCAATTTATTTTGCAAACTGACCGAAAAATAATAAACTACATCATTTTTTGTCAGAAATTGAGTTTTATACATTTTTCGAGGTGGAATATAAAAAACAATAATTATATAATTGTAATAGGTACCTACAGGTACAATCGTTGCCACGTTGGACGAGTTTAACGAGTAGGTGCCGATGTAATTATTGCAAATTAGAATTAATGTTTTACAACTTCGGACAATAGTGTATACAATATATTATGTAAACATTGATAAACGATTAGTTTTATTTATTTATTTTAGTCGTTTATTTCAAACGGTTCACTCCCATGTGGCGATACCACAGGAAAAAAATAGTAAATTATAGTTATGTATTAGAGTACATGATGTTATATATACGGGAGTTTACCAATTGCGCTTAAAATGACCTTTTAATGTATCAATTGCACTCAAAACATTTTTGGGTCGATATACCAATTGGGCTTTAAAAATGTTAGGGTCGATAGACCAATTATTGCGCTCTATACATTTTACATAACCTAAGGAAAACTTATTAGTTATAGTTACTAACCGATTTTTTGCGATTATTAATGCATAATACATTGTGAGATTTCTAGTATTTTACTACYTCTGCTCTAGTTACCACCCATAAATGGCCGTATATGATTTGCGCATCGTCTGCTTACCTTAACCAAAATTATCGTAGGTACATCAAATACACATCAATATTCTAAACAATAGAAGGGTATAACGAATTGTGTTAGGTACATGWTGTATAATATTATATTATAGATGATAAATAATTTAAGATTTTTAAAATTAAAAATAATTTATGTACATAAACATTTCTTGTTCAAATTTTGACAAAATTCATCATAAACTCGAAAATGTAAGTTACAAAATTACATTTTTACTTAGTATATTGTACATCACCTTATACGTCATATGCAATACTTCAAAATTTAACACAACGTGAGTAAATTTAGAGACGAGCAAAGTATAAATAATATAAAAATATATAAATAGGTACACTAATAACCAGTCACATGTTTGATCGTCGATTATTCAAAATTAAATCGTAATTATAAATATGATAAAAATATATATAAACACATAAATGATTTTTTGGGAGTATTAATAGGTATATAATAATATTATAAAACATATTTCAAAATTTTACAATA